ATGTGTGGGTGAGGAAGTGCTGTGTCTATGCTCCCCTAGAAACCGTGAGCACTTGTTACAAGCTCCCTATGGGCCCTGGTAACTGCCAACCAGCAGTGGACAGAGCAGAACCCAACTTCTACACATTTTGATGTCTGGTGTTTTGGGATCCTTCCAGATGTCTTATACAAGGAACAAAGTCAGGAATCCTTGGCTCCTTCTGTCCATGCTCCCCTGACATGATTCTAGACCTTAGCCATCCCACACAGAAACTGTTCACCAGCTGCCCATGGCCCTGAAGCCCTGGGAATCCGGCCAGGGTGCATCGAGGGGCACTGATTCTGCAGAATGCAGGCTGAGGACCTCGGCAGTGAGGGAAAATAAAATTACATGTCATCTGTGACCAACAATGACTTTAAAACTTAGTTGTCTGTGTGAGGATGAGATTTGAAGCACTGAATTAAATCACAATGCACTGACTGAAACTCAAAACTATTTTATTATCTCTCCTTCCTCCCTTTCTCAATTTCCGTCTTCGTAAATTTTGTTCTTCTTCTGTTTTTAATCTTCCTTTTACTGGATCTTATTGTCCATCTAGCCTGGAATTCACAGAACTTCATATAGCTTGGGTCTCAAGTTCTAGAATTACACAAACACACACACACACAGACACACACACACAGTCACCACAGTTCACACAGACCTGATGGTTAAATAGGCCAGTGTGCTGACCCAGTATCTTGTGAATACACAGATACATTAATCACAGAAGACCCACATCTGCTCTGTCCGCTTAGTCTGATGCTCACTAAAAAGGCAGGAAGGTGCTCAAAGCCAACAGCTTCCAACCCCTGTTCCTGTCCCCACACCCTACTCCTGACCCAGTGTCCTCTCTCAATCTCTGCAAAGTGGGAGGGGTTGGTCTCCCTGGCCCCCAGTCCTTCAGTTCTCTCTCTAGCAGCCCTGAGGTCCAGGAGCCCAAACGCCCACGGGTGTTAGAAGATGCAGATCCCCTGGACCACAGACTCTTCCCACTCTGCCTGGTGCTCTATCTGAGCCTTTGGTGGACATGGTAATACTGGTCTATGATTCCAGTCTTGCCCCTTCTGAAACAGCTGCAGATCCACAGAGAGGGTTTTAATAAACCATGGCCATGGGTCTCTGGAGAAGCTGGGGATGCATCGTGTCCTCACTAAGACTCCCATGTAAGTCCTTCTGTCTTCTCCAGCCTCGTCAGTACTCAACGCTGGACACTAGCTTCCTATTGGACCAATCCCTGCTCCTCTTGGGCCTGGTTCTCCCTTCAGGTTGGTCAAGTAGTGGCTCCCTCATGCCAAGAAGGAAGACAAAGACCACAGATCCCCTCCTGCCATTCCTGACTTCCTCTCCAAGCAGGACACAGGTGACACCTGGGTACCTCCAGAGGAGCCCTGGAACCACATCCTTTGTCCCAGACCCTGCCCTCCACTTCAGGTCTGCCTTGTGCCTGCAATCTCAAGCCCCAAAGGGTACCACTGACTGTCCCTGTGCCTGGCATGGCCCTGCTTGTGTTTTGATGACATCTGGACACCACTGGCAAAGAGAAGCAGAACGTCGGACATACATCACACCTGGGTCCCACATTGGTCATCAGGATGGTCCAGTCCTGAGGCGTGTGGCATCCTCTCATGATGGGCTCAATGCACAGAGTTTGGTGGGAGGGGAGAGGCCAAGACTGGGAAGCTCCAGCCAACAGAAGGCACAGGTGGAGGCAGAGTCTTCTGTGACACTGGAAAGGTCCCACCTGCTGATGTCTGGACTTGGGGTTTCTCACCCAGAGCCCCTCAGCTCTTTAAACCCTGTTGTCACTTTGCCACAGGCAAAACCACACAGCTTGTCCCTGAAGCCACATGGGATGGACCGAGCACCTTTGTCTTCTCAGTGACTCTGGGTCTGTTTCACACACACAATCTGCTTCTCTTATTTCTGTTCCTTCTGGTTTTTGTTCCCACCTCTGGGTCTTTGCAGAGTCTGTTCCCAGCACCTTACATGCTGTTCCACTTCTGCGATTGGCTGGAGGCCCTGACTTCTTCTTTCCTGGGCTAAGAGGTCCCTGCCTCGGGGAGCAACTCCAGAGCCCTTTTCAGGTCCCAGGCAGAGTCAGCCGCCCTGCCACACCTCCCATAGAGTCTTATAATCTTAACTTCCTGAGAAAGGGGAGGAAGATCAAGAAGGAAAGCCACGTGGGTGTCAAAGATTCTACAAGGGTGACTAACCAATTAGAACTTAGTGATGGAGAGTTGGAATGTTGCCGAGCCAGAGCCGAATCATCAATTACCGTGGGCTCCCTTCGGCACATTTAACAGGCACTCATTGCCCACCATTGTGTTACCCAGCAGGGAGCCCTGCCAAGAAGGACTGGCCTGGCTAGATCTGCCCATGGGTGCACTGGTGGAGGCAGGGAGGTTATGGTGAATGACTGGACACATTCTCACTGGATTTGAGGACCACTCCACAGGAGGCCGCTCCATCCTGGTCCTGCACATCTGGTGGGAAACCCACCACTGGGTGATCACAGGCCCCGGGGATGAACCCACCACAGCGATTTTGATGTGGACAGAAAGTCAGACTGATCCTCACATCTTCATATTCATGTAGGCATCCCTCGTCTGAAGTTAACATTAAACCAGCCGGGACAGAGTCAGTTTCCCTTAGGTGTGGTCCCTGGCAGGTTGTTCGCATCCAGTGGTTTGGCCTCACACCTGTGTGAGTGTGAGAAGCACTGATGTATCCAGTGCTTTATTCATTAAGAGTCACACTAAATCAGACTGGTGGACCTTACATGGGAGGAAAAGGGGGATATATTGAATGTATATTATGATAATTTCAAAGAATATTTTACAAAATGCCCAGGAGGATACTTAATTCCACTATATTTTGTCTTTTTAAGAGGCACAAACACTTCTGCAGACCTGTTCAGTTCCCCTCAGATGGATCCTGGTGATATCATGTCCCCAGCCACTGCTGGACATGTGGCCAAGAGGGCAGATCCAGGTCTTACACCCTGTGACCTGGACACTCTGGCTCAGTCAGGCTTGTGTGGATGTTGGCCACATTGGGATGAGTGACCCTTGTTCAGATGCATGGGAGAGCAGGGAAGCAGTATAGATCAGCTGGGCACAGTTACACACTATAATACTGTCATCAGGGGCTGAGGCAAGAGGATTGCTGTAAGTGGGCTGACAGCCTATAAAAGAGGTCCTGCCTCATAAAAACCAAAATGGTCACTGAGATAGCTCAGAAGGAGCAGGTGTTTGTCACCAAGCCTGGTGGCCTTTGTTTGGTCCCCAGTACCCAGGTGGTGGAAGGAGAGAGAGCCAACTCCTACAAGTTGTCCTCTGATGTCACATGCTCACACACATGAAATAAATGGAATAGAATATTTAAAGCATGATTGGCCTGGCTCTTCCCAGATCGGCTCAGGACCCTCAGGCTAGCCTCTTGTCCAATCCTGGCACTTGTAAGAGGGGTCTACACATCCCAGTTCCCTGAGGGAAGGTCAGGGTCCACCAAGGAGCCTCTGCTATCAGCCAGGCCATGAAGACTTTCTTATTTACTAAAGGCTGGCCTCTGACCTGAATGACAAGGCCGTGGCTTCTGCTTCTCCAACAGAAATCCCTTAAATCCACCTATGACTTGTGGCCGTAACTATGGGCAGGGCCAGTGTTCCAATAATTTCCTCAATCTTCACTTGGTTTTCTCTGCAGCAACTGCAACATTATGGTTGTGTATGGGTGTGCTGTGTGTGTGTGTGTAGATGTGTGTATGCATATATGCATATGTGTGTAGGAGGGCCTTGTTTTTCCTGTTTTTAAGACAGAGCCTCATCATGTAGCAAAGACTAGCCTCGAACCCTGTACCTTCCTTATTAACCTCCCAGGACTTGGGATCACAAGTGTGGACCATCCTGCCATGATGAACATCCACTCCTGCTGTACAGAGAGAGGTTGGCATGGAGACAGGCTCACCTTCATGAGGGTGTGTCCTGGACACAAGTCAACACTTTATGCTGTTGAAGTGAAGAATGGCAATTGATTGATAACCCAGGTGGTTACAGCTAGGGACAGAGGCACACCCCTGTGACCTCAGCACTTGGGAGGCCAATGGGGCAGATCCCCAAGTTCACATCCACCCAGTGCAAAGGAGTAAGATACCATGTTAAAGACAGATGTGAAACCTTTGTCCTGTATGGACAGACAGAAGGAAGTGGGGGTAGAGGGCAGACAGACTGTATCAGATGATTCCTTGGATGGTGGTGACATCATGGGCGTGCATCTGAGAACCCACAGAACTGTGAGACCCTAAGTCTGATCTTCAAGCTGGTATTAACCTTGCAGATGGCTCATTACAATATCCAGAATGGACCAATCACCTGAGACAAACACAGCTCAGCTGTGCAGAAACTGGTGCCTGCCATCTTCTGGATTTTGCTCACTTGTTCTTCATGTTTTACTGAAGTGTGTGTGTGTGTGTGTGTGTGTGTGTGTGTATGTGTGTGTCTGTATCTGTGTCTCTGTGTGTGTCTGTGCATGATCTGTTGTTAACAATCTAGCAGACTATCAAAGGATGTTTCTTTAGTAACAGTTGAAGATCAAGAAGGAAGAACAACAGAATCTGTTTAGGATGCTTCCTGCCTCCTGGTCCACAGCCTGCTGTGATGAGGGTTTGACAATCCAAAGAAATGCCTGCAGGAAAATACCCCAGAGTGTCAGGGAGCCCAGGAGCCAGAGGTGACAGGTGCAGAGATCTGATTTGCATAGCCCCGCCCTTCCAGGAAAAGAGGAACAAGCTATGGTTATAAGGGGCAGCTAACTCCTGAGGCAAGGCTGCAGTCAGCACACATTCCTGGCCTCAGGATGGCAACAGATCAAAGCAGCACTTCTGAGGATCTCAGCAGCACTCCGCCTTGGGAGCTGGACAAGTTTATACAGGATCACCTTCTTGGTGACACCACCTTCATTACTGAGATCAGAGCAGACATCGAAGTCATAAGTGCTTTCCTGAAGGAGAGATGCTTCCAAGGTGCCACCCACCCTGTGCGGGTCTCCAGGGTAACGATGGTGAGTCCCATTAGCCTGAGCTGACCAGGATGGTGTGGGAGAGGATTCTCAGAAGCCAGACGGCAGTCCTTAGAGGAGAGTAAGTTACCTACCTGCTCTGTGCCCAGTGTCCTCATGTATACCCCAGCTATGGCACAGGGCAGAGAACAGAACAGAGACCCCACCTGCTGGATGACTGGACTGATGGAAGTTCATTGCCCGTGTTTCCATCTGTCAAATGGGACTTTATGATGACAGTCCCTACCTTGTCACTGTGAATGCTGCAGAAATGTTGTGTTGTAATGTCCACTCATTTATGTCAGGTGTGCAGGTGTGTTAGTGATTGTGCTCAGCATTTTATTTAGGGAGGATCTCTGCTTATCACTTGTTAGTTTCTCAAGTTTTCACTTTTTGTGAAATCAGTTTCCGTGACACTAAAAGGTCTCAGAGCAAATGTTAAAATTGTTACAGACTTTCTTCCTGTATGGTGAACATGGTGCATTCCTTTAAGTGCTCTGTTAATTAGAGGGATTATGACAACAGTTTGATGCATCCATGGTAATTTACTCAGTCTCTTCAAACCCACTCCCTTGGCCTTGAATCTGATCTCTCCCAAAGAGTCGCCTTCCATCACATATGTACACACACACACACACACACACACTTAAATCTAGATAGAAATAGAATTTTAAAAAATTAAAAAAGGATGTTCACCATTATGAGTCTGGCTTATCTCTTGTATCACAAGGAGATCCAGGACCATCTATGTTCCTAAAGAAAATTCCAATTTCACTCTTCGGTACTGAATAGAATTCCACTGCACATGGGTCAGCTTTCTCCACCCACGGATCACTCTTGGTGATGGGCTCCTACTCTGTTAACATCTGGATTGCCCAGCATGGCTCTCCCTGTTCTTTGACATTCTCATCCTTGTCTTTTAGGGCAGCTCCTACAATGAATACACTGTGCTCAAGGGCAGGTCAGAGACCGACCTTGTGGTATCATTTAACAATCTCAAAAGCTTTGATGATCAGTTGGAGGGACGGGAAGAGTTCATTAAGGAAATTCGGAAACACCTGAACCAGTTGCAACAAGAGAAACAATTGGGAGAGAAGTTTGAGGTCCAGCACTCAGAGCATCCCAACTACAGGTATCTGAGCTTCAAGCTGAGCTACCCTCAGTTCCAACAGGAGGTGATATTTGATGTGCAGCCAGCCTATGATGTCCTGTGTAAGTCAGCCAGCAGCAGAGCCTCAGCCTGCCCTTCCTCATGCCTCAATCCTCTCTTCTTTTACTATCTCTGTGTGTAGGGGAAGGGGATGTTCACATGTTTGCAGATGTCTGTGCACATGGTTGCATATGTGGGTAGTAGCCAGAAGCCAGCCTTAGATGTTGGTTACTTAGGAGGCTATTTTATTAAGAGATTGACCTGGAGTTTGCTGCCCCACCTTCGTGGCTCTTGCAGTAAGGAGCTGGGGTCAGGTGTGGTGTGTGCTCTGATGGAGCTGAACCCACAATCTCTGGCACCTGGAGCCTCCATGTGTCTATTAGGTACAGCACAGGGCTGGGGGAGGGGTTACCTAGTCTCCTAGAAGTGTCTGGAGGCTATGAGTCGCCAGCTGTAAACAATTTTACTCATATTTAGGATACACTGGGCTTCTTCTACCCCCTACAATCCAGGCAGGTTTCTTTTCTTATTTGTGTTGAGAATGGTGAATCTGACAGCTTCATGTCAACCTATCTGGTCAGATGGTGAGCCTGAGGGACTCTCCTGTCTCTACCTTCCCAGCAGTGTGATGTCAGTGTGGACCCTCATGCCTCTGAAACACAGCTTTTAACAGGGGTGCTCAGAATCTCATTTGGGGACCTCATACTTCTCTAAGCCCTTTACCCACAGAGCCATCTGCCCAGCCCCTGGAGAGATCCTACAGAATGCCTGCAAGATGGACAGCTCTCTCTACACAGCTGAGATTGGGAACTGTGTGTCTCTAAAAGTAGAAAAAGAGATATAGCTAAAAATTAACATCTGTTTCGTCTTCTATCAAAGAATGAGAAACCTCAGACCTGTACAGAGGTCTAGGTGTCTGTGTAGGTTTAAGGGGAAACAGGTATGCAGTATGCATGAATTCCCAGAGGTGCTCTCTTCCCCTCTGGAAAACTGGAAACCCAGCACACAAAATCCCCACATGTACACACATGTGATTTAATTGATATTAATGATCCTCTAAACTAGTATCTCATACCACTCCTACACACAGTGTGTCTAGTATCTCATACCACTCCTGACACACAGTGTGTCTCGAAAAATGGCCCAACTCTGCACACGAACAAGCAGGAACACTCATGGAAGACCATTATGGGTTTGGGGAGCTTGTAGAATACTCGAGGTTTTATATTTGGGGGATACAGCACCCCCTCTTGGCCACTGTGTGAACTGCTGCTATTTACTTAGAGACAGGGCCACTAGCCCTTGGCTTAGGAGAGCCATGGAAACAGTCCAGAGTCTCAGGCAGCAGGGACTGAGAGGGCCAGCCTGGGAGTAGGACCAGGGCAGCCTGCTGTGGGAAGCTACAAGAGGCTTAGAGCCCTGCTTAGTGGAGGGGGCTGAGAGGGAGTGACCCAGAAATGAGCTGGGAGGGGGCTCCCCCAGAAGCCTGTGTTGCTCATGGACTTGCCCAGCCTGAGGCAGCTTTCCAGTAGGACAGAAACTCTATTATAGAAGGATTGCCTTGGGTATGCTTGTGTGGATGACATCCAAGAGGACCACAGCCCTAACCCAGGTGACTTAGCAAATGAGACCTACTGTGTGCTGGTCCTGAAATAGTAAATAAGCCCTTGAGAACTTCCTGGGTCACTGAGGAACTAGACTTGTCTCAAGCTCGTTCAGTGAGTGATTTTGCTCTGTGCCAGCATCAAAGCCTCATGGTGTGGCCTGCTGCAACCATGGCTACACACCTGCAGCCTCCTAGATCATTCAAATGTGCACACAACCTACACATAGCCACATACACATCAATTCCATAGCCTGCCCCTGTCCACTGTAAAAGGTCACAGGGCACACAGACACCACCACCACCATCACCATATCCTCAAACTCTTGGGAAATGGACAATCAACAACACATGGCATTAAGTTAGGCACTATAGAGAGTCATGGACTGCAGACACAAAGTGCTGGGGAGACAGTGCAGTGGATAAGGATGATTGCTGCTCAAGCATGGGGGTATGAGTTTGAATCCCCAGTGCCCACCTAACCTTAGGAAGTGCCACACATTGACCTGTATCCCTGGTACTATGGGAACAGAGACAGGAGAATCTCTGGGGCCTGATGGACGCCAGTCAAGCTCCATGTTCACAGAGAGACCCTGCTGCAAAACGGAGGGGTGACAAACTATAAAGGAAGACACCCCATCTCCTCTTGTGCCCTCTGAATATGTGTTTGCCACATCCATGCACACACAATCCACCCATCATCTCAAAATAGCACAGAGACTGTACACACATGATAAGTTAGACAACTGAGGTAGAGTGCTCCAGGGTACACCAGCACACTGTTGGCCATTATCAGATGACCGCGTAGCTCTCTTGTGAGTGACCACAGTGTGCTGTTTCCTCCAGGCCTGGGAGAAAGTCATCCTACTAGTAGCAGTTGGTGACACAGACTTCCCAGGACCAATTCATGTATACAGTCCAGAGGTGTGGTGGGCTCATGTCTCTTTGGGGAGTCACGCTTGCTAGGGACAAAGTTTGTGGTGTTCACTGAACCCTATAGACAGAGATTGTGGCCTTAGAGAGAAGGAAGATCCTCAGAGCATGGATGAGACTAAACATGAATAAAACTTATTTATAGCTCAAGTGCAAAAGAAAGAGGAGGTTGACTCTGAAATCTACAACAAAATATATGCCGAACTCATCCGTGAGTGCAACATCCTGAACAAGGCAGGCAAGTACTCCAACTGTTTCCTGGAGCTCCAGCAAAACTTCCTGTGGAAACGTCCACGCGAGCTGAAGAATCTAATCCGTCTGGTCAAGCACTGGTATCAACTGGTAAGGCATCTGACCCT